GGGTCTGAGATTTTTTAACAAGCAAACTAGGGTGGTGGTCTTCAATGCTTGGATCCTTGCTGATATTTTAAATCCGGGGATTGGATCAGTATCACCCTGTGTCTGAGGAGGTTATATTTGAGGATTCCCACCAGGGGGTAGAGGGGGAGGGGGAGGATCAGGGGGTTAGGGGGAGGCCGGCGGTCGCAGCACCGGTTCAACAGCCTCCTCTTCGGCCACCGGCGCCACAGCAACCGGCTGGTGGTCCGGCGCAGGAGGTTGGGATTGCGAGGGAGGGGCCGCTGGTGTTGAGGATTGCTGCTAATAACCCGGCGCCTGCTGCTCCTGCTCCGGTGCCAGCGCCGCAGGGAGGGGGGAATAATGCTGGGGTAGCAGCAGCCCGCGGAGGTCCGCGTGGGAGACAGGGAGCTGGTGGTGCGTTGGCTGCTCGAGGTGGGAGAGGAGGTGTACATCGAGGGGGACATCAACAGAGAGGTGGAGGTGGTGGTCGGGGAGGTCGGGGAGGAGGACACGCCGGCTTTGGACCCGGCGGACAAGGAGGCCATAACAGGGGAGGTGGCCGAGGGGGTGGTGGTGGTGGCCACCGGCAAAATGTTAATAATCAGGCACAACAGGGGCAGCGTCGTAATAACAACCAGAACAACCAGAACCAAGCAGGAGCTGGGGGAGGGGAGCATAACATGGTGGAGATGATGGAGATGCTGGATGGGAACGGGGAGCTGGACCCGAGACAGGAGGAGTGGGTGAGGCGGTTTGTGAGGTTGGCGTTGAACGATGAGGAGGATGATTTTAATGAGGATGATTTTGATTTTGTGGTGCCGAGGTGAGGGTTTGGGAATGGGGGGTTAGCATAGCTTTTGGGTTTGGGTTTGTGGGGAGGAGGGGGGGTGTTATTCAGGCACTGGAGGTTTTGCATTGGTGTTGGTGGTGAATATAGCTAGATGGAAAGAGATTTACAATGGCATTGTGTTGGGTTTGGTGTGTATGTAGGGTCGAATGGGAAAGTCCACAAATGATGATGATACCCGTACCCATTACATCTTCCAGCCAACAAGCGGGCAACACTTGAAGAGTGCGTGTGATGCATTCCTTTGGATTTTCTTTGGGGATGTCTAGAAAGAATGGTGGCATGGCATACGCTAAGTTGCCAATGAGATTCTGATGCATCCAAGTGCGTAATCTGAGCATGTCATGTGGCATAGGTAGTTAGATCGATGAATGGAACTGTGTTCCTGACAGCATCAGCTACGGGCTGTGACTCTTACATTTCTTGAGGGAGGGGACAAAAACGTGGAGAAATGGTACGATATGATGGAGGGGACGGGGAAGTGCTACTGTTGCTACGGTGGCTTTTTCCCCCTTGGGGGCAAGCGAGCTGTGGTAGAAGGAGAGGTATGAGTGGGCATGAGGAGTAGGAGTGGGAAGGGAGAGTTAGGTCGGACACGGGTATGCTACGGTGGCTTTCTTGGGGGTTCTCGCGTGAGGTGAGGTTACGAGATAGTGATGTATGCCTCACTATCAAGCTTTGTTGGCCGTTGATGTATCGTAGAAGACTGAAAAGAGAGCAACTTGAGACGGGTCGGTAAGTACGTAGGTAGGTAGCTGGATCGCTGAGTAGGTAGGTAGGTAAGGTATCTCAGCAGAACACAATTCCCAGCCCCCCCCGAAAGCCAACTGTACATAAGGAGGACGAAAACAGCAACCTGTTCGCTACCAGCTCTTGTCCCTTTTCCCTCTCTGCTCCCACTCGTTCTAAGGTACGTAACCGCAGCGGATAAATGTGAATTATTCTACTAGGTACTATCCAGTCTGTCTGTCGGACAATCCGAGATTCTATTCTTATACTTTTTTTACCTACACTATCACTTTGCATAAGTAGATGTTGTACTCGTCTCCGGAAAACCTCCGTCGTCATCAGCCTTACCTTTCACGTATGTTCTCTGGGTCCGGGTATACAACTTTAACGTAGGTAGTCTTTTCCGTCCCATAACAGCCGAGGAAAAGGGGGGGCTGATTGGTAAGTAGGTAGATATGTAGGTAGTTAGCCCCCCATGATCCGGCACCGAAGAGTAGGGAGTAAGGGTAAACAGCGGCAGGTTCTGAGATGCGGTACCTTGGTTATGGCAAACACTGGCATCCAGCCGTTCCTTGTCAACAAAAAGAAGCATGAAAAGGTCCGGTGACTGACGCCTCAAGTCTGTCTGTTTGTCTGGTAATTACCCTAATGCTAAAAGTCTCGTCCCGGCCGCCCTGATGATACTCCACCTACCTTTCCTACTTCAAAACCCTTTTGTGGCCGAATAAGATCTCTTTTTGACATCTCCGGTAGAAAACAAAGGGAACAATCAGACTACTGCACGCTATGATGTCCCTTCTTCCCTTCCCTTTAAACCCCAACCAACAACCCACAATTGTAAAAAAAATCTCTCCGCAGATGTAGATAATAATCACCTACTCTTACCCGCAAGTGTGACACTACAACACAACACTAACCACCAAAAAATGCATCTCTCCCACATGGCATCCCCACCCCAACCCGCAGTTTGTGGCTTGCGTTAGTTTATTTTTTTCCCTCTCTGTCCTGAATGTGTGATTGTGTTTCTCTTTTCGGTCTTCAAATACTACCCTAACGTCGTGACAAAAAGAAGCAAGGTACCTACCACCACCAAAAGAAAAAAAAGTACAAAAAACACACCATGATCATCATCCTCAATTTTTTTCCGGTATTTTCCGTGCGTTCGTTCTAGAGTCTTTCCAATGTCAAAAAGGCATGATGCAGAATAACAACAACAACAAAGACCATTCCAGGCTTTCCCCCCTACTATCCCCCCCCCCCCTCCAACCCACGGAGTGGGTGAGAGTAAGCGCGTTGTACATGCACTCCACGCGGATGCCTGTTGAATGA